CGCGCCCCCGGGACCCCCTCCCGCCCGCTGTCCCTTGTTGCCCGGAGGCCTGCAGCGCTGGCCCCACGCGTGGTCACACACCGGGCCGCGGCATGTGATACACAGCTGCACTCGTGGGGGCCAGAGGGAGCGTCACACGCAGTCACACTCCAATGGAGTCATCCACTCCCACAGTCACACACACAGGGGTCACACGGCGTCACAAACACCCACATCCACACACAGTGTCACCCTTTCGTATGGAGTCAAACCGTCACACACGACGCACTCACATTTTGTCCCACATTGGAACAGTGTCACACACTGTAACACACTCAAATCGTGTCACCACCACCCACGTGGTGTCACACAACCACACACGTCACACACTGTCACACATTCCTGTGGGTCACAGAGTCATATTCTCACATCTCACACACAGTCTCACAATCATTGTCAAACCCTCTTACACACACTTGTCACACCAGCCACATACGTGGGGTTACATACCCTGCACTGTCATACATCCAACATGTCACACAGTCACAGGGGTCACAAGTACTCACACTCAAATGGGGTCACAGTGTCACACATTCCTACATGGCACACACTGTCACAGTCTAATCGAGTCACACACGCCCATACAGCACATCTCATGTCACACACTCACACCACATCACACACCATAGTAGTAATACCTACAGCATCACAGACTGACACAAAGTGTCCACAGTGTCACCACAAGGTCACACTTAACAACAGTAGTGCCTGCCACACACGTTACACACACAATGTTACACACAGGATGGCACGTGGTGTCCACAAACCACACTTTTCCTTGGGCTTACAGAGTCATACAGGGTCACATACACACATACACTGGTACATAGACACACAATTGCACAGGGTCACACACGGCCCCACACCGCCCTCCCTCACTCCCCCCGCCCCCCGTGCAGCTGCGAGGAGGCGGAGGGTGTCCTTTGACTCCCAGGTGGGCTTCGAGGCACCGGGAAAAGTAGCATGAGTTCAGAGAGCCCGATGGGCGTGGCCCGCGCTCCCTCGCCCGGCCTTGAGTGGCTAGAGCGAGGAGGCGGGACACTAGGAGAACGGCTGTCCTAATCCCGCCCCCTTGCCCTGTTCTGGAGGGAGGCGTGGCTTATATGGCCCCGCCTCCCAATTTCCATATCGGGTGGAGTGGGCAGTGCTCCGCAGCAAGCTAATACTTGCCGACTCCTGTCCCGCCCACACACGCTTTTCCTAGTAGGAGGCGTGGTCTGTCTGCACACGCCCCTCCTTCTGAGCGTTAGGAGGGACGAGGCGGGGCTGAGGCGGGGTCAACTGCGTCCGGCTCCGCCCCCGCCCTCCAGTTACAGAAGGGCAGCGAGCGAGGCCCCGCACCCACTCGGTTTCCGCGTGTCCGGCGACTCCGCGGCTACCGGCCCCACGATCCTGCAGCATGGCGGTCAAGAAGATAGCGATCTTTGGCGCCACTGGCAGGACCGGGCTCACTACCCTGGCTCAGGCGGTGCAAGCAGGTATGAGTCGGGGTGGGCCGGAGACGTCATGGGGTGAACGCGCAGAGCATTAGGAAGGGGCGTTCTGGGGCCATGCTGAGTCTAGTTGGGGCTTTCAGTACCTCGGTAGTGTCAGGACCCAAGGAGCTGAGCAGGTGGCTACGAGGGCAGGAATGCGGGAGGCCACGACACTGCGTTCAATTGCATGTAAATCCAGGGCACAGAAATTGTCCATGGGAGCCCCCCCCCCCCCGCTCCAGGGGACAGTTTGGTGTAAATACAGGGCTTTTATGAAACATTGTTGCTGTTGCTATTATTATTAGCTCAACCCAGGGAGGGCTTACTGAACTAGATTACCCATTTGTCGCCCAGCACTGCCCTTTCTTCCCGTGTTAAATCCTCACAGCACTCACATGGGGTTGTTGCTGTAGTTGAGTGCCGTCCAGTGGGTTGTTGGAATGCAACTGCTCGGTAGAGTTTTCTTGGTTATAATCTTTTCGGAAGCAGGTTGCCAAGTCTTTCTCCGATGTGCAGCTGAGTACTCTAACCGCCGACCTTTTGTTCAGCAGAACTCTCAACCTGTGCAACACCAACCAAAAAAAACCAACCCACTGCCATCCAGTCGATTCCGACCCATAGCGACCCCCACTGGGTTTCGGAGGCGGTCAATCTTTAACGAAGTAGATTGCCCGTCTTCCTTCCGCGGAGTGGCTGGAGGGGTTTGAACCTCCACCAGGGCTTCTACAATTACCCCACTTCTATGAGAAAACTGAGGTCCAGAGAGTGATTTGCTTAAACCGACAACAACAAATAGCTGGTGAATGGCGGTGCTGGCATTTGAACTAACCACCACAAAAACCAAAAGCTTGGGCACTAGGGCCAGAACTTTAAAGGTTGGGGGGTTGTGAACACCTACGAGAGGGGACTCACTGAGAGAATGAAGGCTTGGGGGTACCAGTCCTGGGAAAGACAGTGAGGGCTGAGAATTTGGAGCTGCGCTAGGGTGGGAAGTGAGGCAGGAAAAGGGATATTCCACTGCCGGGCACCGTGCCGTCTTCACCAACCCCCAGCAAGGCCTGGGGCTTCCAGATACAGGGCCCCACCTCTGCTGGCCTCAGTGACTCTGAAGATAAAGACTATCTGGGTGCCCCAAAGGGGTAGAGGCCGCTGAGGTCCCACTCTCTAATGGCTCCCAGCCCAGCCCTCCTTGGGAGGGGCTCTGCCTCTGCCTGAAAGCCCCCCACTAGGCCCACTGCTTTCCCCTCCCCCAGTGAGACCTCCTGAGGATCTTGTAGAGAGGGGAGAAACGAATTTGTTGATGAGCGATTCTGGGGTAAATGTGAGGAAAGAAGGAAAAGGGGGGAAGTTGAGAAGTGCTGAGTCACCCTGGGGCTTTGGAGTCCTGGTTTCGACCTCCCCCATCCCGAATTCCATTTGCCCACCCTGCTGGTCACCGCTGGGACTGCACCCCGGGGAATTGGGATCTAGGGCCTAGGGGAGCTTTGCCTTCTCACTTGGCTCTTGGCTCTTCACACCACCTCTTCAAAGTTCTGAGCCTCCAGGAAAAAGGAAAGAGCTCTGGTGGCTAGTGCCTAAGCCATTTGATTGCTAACCTGAAGGCGGGTTACCCCCTGAAGGTTCAAACCCCCAGCCACTCCTCAGAAGGAAGATTAAGCAATCTACTCCTGTAGAGATGTTGTTATGTGCTGTCCAGTCGGACCCAACTCATAGCTACCCCTCCTTGGGTTTCTGAAGGGGTATTACTACGGAAACAGATTGCCCAACCTTCCTTCCAAGGAGTAGCTGGTGGGTTTGAACCGCCAGCCTTCTGATTAGCAGTCAAGTGCCTTAGGCACTACACTACCATAGATACTGCCTCAGAAACCCAAGGAGGGGTCACTATGAGTCAAATTGAGTCAACAGCAGTGAGTTTTGTTTGGGTGTTTTGTTTTTTTTTTTACCAAGTTAGGGCTTTATCTTCCGGGGTGGTTCTGAGTTCTGACAGGCCCGGACTCTGGCCCCAGACTGCCCACATTCAGTCCCCAGCTCTGCCACTACCAGTTGTGTGGTCAGTGCCTTGCCATCTTCATACCTAGATTTCTGTAAAATGGTGGTGAAACTAGTAGCCCCTCCCCTATGGCACTCTTGTGACAGTTAAATGAGATAATATGTGGAAGTGCCTAGAACAGTGCCTGGTGGATACCTACTGCTCAGTAAACACCCTTTGGCTGAGTGACCATCACTTCATTTCAGTAAAAATTCTACCTTCTTTCTCTACTAGCTCTGTGATCCCAGCCCAGTTACATAACATTGTCTCAGTTTCCTCGTTCTCCAAATGGAGATAATCATATCTTGTAGGACTGTAGCAGTCTGGTACTTTTCACACTGTGGGTCATCAAAAAAAAACAAAAAACACCTCACTGCCATCAGGTTGGATCCCACTCATAGCGACCCCTCCTTGGGTTTCCGAGGCGGTATCACTACAGAAGTAGATTGCCCAGTCTTCTGGGGAGTGGCCCTTGGGTTTGAACCATTAGCCTTCTGGTTAGCAGTCTAATGCCTTAGGCACTACACCATCAGAGCTCCTTGTGGGTCATAGTGAGTTCTTAGTATATTTAATTGGTCACAACAGTATCAGAATTTATTACATGTTAAATATTGGTTTTATCAAACTTTTATGTCAAATACAAAGCCAGACTCACTGCCATCAAATAGTTTCCGACTCATAGCAACTCCCATCATGTTTCTGAGGCTGTAAATCTTTATGGAAGTAGATTGCCCCATCTTCCTTTTGAGGAGCAGCTGGTGGGTTTGAACTGCTGACCTTCCAGTTAGCAGTCAAGTGCCTTATCCACTATGCCACCAGAGCTCCTTTTATGTCAAATATATTCCCTGTCTGGAGCAATGAAGAGTGAAGAAAAGCAAAGACATGTGGAAACAATTAGTCCAAAGGATAATGGACCAAGTGAACCCCAGCTCCTTGACCCTGAGACCAGAAGAACTAGATGGTGCCCAGCTATCACTGCTGACCACTCTGAAAGGGATCACACTAGGACATCCTGGACTGAGTGAGAGTAGAGAGAAGAACGTGGAACAAAACTCAAAATCGTGTAAAAGAACAGGCTTGCTGCTCTGCTGGAGACTCGTAGAACCCCCAGGCTATGGCCCTTGACACCATTCCAGCTTGGAACCAAACACTTCTGAGGCTCAGCTTTCAGTCAAACAACAGACCTATGAAGTGAACAGTGACACCAGAAATGTACAACTTCTTACAACAGCCAGCTGTGTGAGATCGAAAGGGCAGCATTTGCCCAGGGGTAAACCTTAGAAGGAAGCTTCTAAGTCCTTCTTTAAGGGTGGAAAACAAACAGGGAGGAGGTAGGAAGAGTGCTGTTACATTGTGGGAATTGCAATCAATGTTATGAATCAAAATGTATATGAATTGTTGAATGGAAAAGCAACCTGTTACGTAAACTTTCACCCAAATCACAATTAAAATACACACATATGTGTACATATATGTATGTGTATGGGAGTCCCTGGGTGATAACCGGGAAGCAGTTAACACTCTTGGCTACCATCCAAAAGGCTGACCGTTTGAGTCCGCCCAGTGGCTCCCCGGAAGACGGCTTGGCTCTCTACCTCTGAAAAAACCAGCCATTGACAACCCTGAGGAACACAGGTCTGTCCTGACACGCGTGGGGTAGGTTAGCACTGAGCTCGTTGACAGTTTGGCCTCCAGGGACTCAGCTTACCAGGCACGTGCATTCAGCTCTATTTTAACCAGTACCGTGGCAGGTGTTAACCAGCGCCCTCATTGGCTCCCTGAAAGCCCCTGTGTGCACAGCCCACCACCAGCGCCGATGTGCCAGGACACCGTAGGTTTTGTGTCATTCCCTGATCCCATATGATGCGAATGCTGGGCACTGTGATCTGTATTTTAGAGATGAAGAAGCTGCAGAGTTTAAAAACTTTTGTGCTTTAAAAGACAACCCCTGGAGAAGAGGTAACTATCAGGAAGAAGTGGGAGGGGAGCTGTTGCATTGGGGTAAATTGTAGTCAATGTCATGAGACAAAGTGTATGTGAACTGCTGTATGGAAAGTGAATTTGCTCTGTAAATTTTCACCCAAATCACAATCAAAAATTAAAACTAAAAAAAAGACAACCCCTGGAATGGGAGAAAAATTTTGCAAATTGTATATCTGCTAAGAAGCTTACATCCAGAATCAGGGAAGATGTTTGTGTAACAGCCAATAAGTGGCAGGGCCAGGATTTGAACCCAGGTCTATGGGGCCTTAAAGCCTTGCTTTCCTGTTTATAAAGGGTCAGGGAGATAGTGATGAATATGACAGTCCCTGGACCTGCAGTGCCCTTGGTTTACTCTAGGTCAGCATAATTAAGGCTCTGATGGGAAAAACAAGAGCTGGAGGACTGGAAGAAAAGGATAAAGGGTGTTCTAGGCAGAGGACAGCGTGTACAAAGGCCAGGGGACAGGAAATGGCATGGTGAATTTGAGGAACTGAACGAGGTACAAGAGATGAAGTGAGCAGTGGTTGGAGGAGGAGGGGCCTTAAAGGCTGGAGTGAGGAACATGGGCTTAACCGCAAGGCATTATGGGTCCTGAGAGGGATCTGAGCAGGGGGCACTTAAAATTTACCATGGAATGTTCTGTTTGGCTGCTTTGTTGGAGGACAGGTTGGAGGGGTTGTAACTGGGGACCTGGAGCCCAGGGTGGATATCAAGGCAGAGAGGCCAGGCAGGAAAGAGAACACTGGACCAGGGCTAAGGATAAAACCATCAGATGAAAAGGCATGCTAACAGCAAACACTCATACAGTACTTATCCCTGTACCAGGCACCACCCCAAACTTTTTGTTTATTTCTTTTAATTTTTTGTTTTTTTACATTTCTTAGAACAGCTTTATTGAGATGAAATTTATATACCACACGATTCACCCATTTAAAATTCAAGGGTTCTTAAGATCTTTAGAATTGTGTGGCCATCACCACAATCCATGTGAAAACATTTCATCACCCCAAAAAGAAGCACCTAGAAATGCCCCTCATTTCTCCCCCAGCCCCAACCCTAGGCAACCACCAGCTACTTTCTGTCCTGTGAATTCACCTGTTGTAGACATTTCATGTCAATGGAGTCATACCGTCGTGTCCTGTTATGTGCCTGGTATCTGAAGATACTTGACATATCTTCAAGAGTGAGCATGTTATAACATGTATCAGTATCACATTTTTATTGCTGAATAATATTCCATTGTATGAACATGCCAAATTGATGTAGCCGTTCATCAGTTGATGGACATTTGGGTTGTTCCTACTTTGGGGCTATTATGAGTAATGTTGTTATGAAAATTTGTGTACAAGTTTTGGTGTGACATGTGTTTTCATTTCTCCAGGGCATGTACTTGGGAGTGGAATTGCTGGATCGTGCTGGCATGATCAGACATCCTAACAATCCTTGGTTAACCTTTTCAGGAACTGTCAGGCTCTCTTCTAAAATAGCTGTGCTGTTTGATGTTCCCATCAGCTGTGGATGAGAATTCCAAGTTCTCCATGCCCTTGCCAACACTTGTATTATCTGTCTTTTTTATTATAGCCATCCTAGTGTGCGTGAAAAGGAGCTCTGGTGGCACAGTGCCTAAGGCATTTCACTGCTGTTCTGGTTCCCTAGAACCTAAGGCATTTGCGGTATATTCCTCTCTGACAGGAATATATCGCAAATGGGATGGTTTTAACAAACAGGAGTTTATTCTTACAGTTTGGAGGCTTTAAGTGCAAGTTCAAAGTGCCAGGCTCTAGGGGCTGGGTGAAAGCGCCTCAACCTTGGGGTCCAGCTCTGCCTCCTGCTACTGGCCCACTGGAGCCAGAGGCATTTCTTCACTCAGACAGCTGCTGGCTGCTGGGGCTGACACACCCAAGGTTGACAAGTAAAAAGGCACAGTCCCAATGTTACTAATCCAAGTGGCAGGCCATTAACTTAAGTCCATTGTAAGTCCCAAGGTCCGCAGAGCATGGCAGGCTGCTGAGCAATGACGTGGCTACATGCCGGGTCCAAGTGTGCCATAGGCTAGAGACCATTCTCAAGGCTTCTCCTTATATATAGGAAGCAGACCACATACCCAAAGGCAACTACCCAGCTGCTCATGGTAGATCCCACCATGGAGCTGATTGCCAGTCTCCTCATGGGAATTAACTACCACCAGCTGCCCAGCCACTCGACCAGGCCCAGCCAAGCTGACACACAAACCAAACTACCACACGTAGTATACCCTAACCTTTGGCCACTGTTTAAAACAAAGGAAGAAACACATTATCTCTCAGCTTTAAAATGTGTGTGTTGTGGCCCCGGTAGGAGTTGGGGCACAGAATTATCCAAAATTATTTTGGGAGGGGACATAGCAAAGTGATACTCAAAATCTTTAACAACCCCTAAGGTAGGATGGAGGAGCTCTGGTGGTGTAGTGGTTAAAGCATTCGGCTGCTAACTATAGGATGGATGGTTTGAACCCACCAGCTGCTCCATGGGAGAAAGATGTGGCAGCCTGCTTCCATATTTATATATATATACACAAAGAGAAATTTATCTTAGGAAAATGGCTCACACATTTACAGAAGCTGGCAAGTCCCCAGTTCTTGGATCAAATGTCAATCTGGAGGCTTTTCCTGACTCTCGCAGCTGCAGGGCTGAGGAGCTCAAGGTTGGCAGGCAGTGTACTGGCTGTTGACTCCAGCGAATGACGAATCCAAGATCTCAAGGCTGAATGGTGGATTGTTCGCTCACGGACAGTTGTAGGCAGAATCCCAATCCACAGAAGAGTCTCTTGTCCCAGGATGTCCATAAATATACTGGAAGCAGGCCACACCCCTAGGGAAACTCCCTTTCAGCGGATTGGCTGCTCAAAACATATACATCTGATCCCATCATTGGAACAACCCACATCACAATTGCTTAAACCACACAGAATTGTGGTCCAGCTAAGTGGACACAAAGCTCCAACTATCACAGTAGGATCAGGCCCTGAGGAAGTGAGGCCCAGGAGCATGGTCCAGGATGAACCCCAATGCTGGAAACCTTCAGGTGTCTGATGGCCTCCTCTGTACCTGTTTCCTCCAGGATTATGGATGGGCGTGTATGAGTTTCCTAGGGCCTGCATAAGGCATTACCTCAAACTAGGTGACTTTAAACAACAACGTTACTCTCCCAAAGTTCTGAAGGCTTGGGGTCTGAATTCAGGGTGTGCACAGGGCCAAAGTCTCCCTGAAGACTCTAAGGAGATCCTTCCTCAGCTCTTTTTGCTTCTGGAGGCCCCAGGTGACACTTGGCTTGTGGTAGCATCTCTCCAGTCTCTGCTTTGGTCGTCACATGGCCGGCTCCCCTTTGCGTCTCTGGGCCTCACATGTGTCCTCTTCTCTTTTTATAAAGATACACTCACACTGGATTAGCCCCATACACGCGTATCCCACTATGACTTCATGTTAACTACGAATTACATCTACAAAGACCCAGTTTCCCAATCAGATCACATTCACAGGTACCTGAAATTGGGACTTCAACAAGTGTTTTTGGAGGACACAATTCCACCCATTAAGGGGCTCATAGACCAGTGCAGGGTCAAATATTAACCCTTTAGTTGCTGGGTGGTGGGGAAGGTGGGAGTACGTGCGAAGGCCTCAGTGTGGACTTTCCACCAACTGGCATGAAGGTGTCGCCGTATTTTAACAACCAACTGAATGTCAATTACCACTATGGCTGCAAAATGTCTGAAGACCTCTGCCCCAGAGCAGGGGACCTGGGAGATGGATCTGGGGAGCTCCGGCACCCACTGACCCTCCTCTCTACCCCTCTTTGCCCGTAGGTTATGAAGTGACGGTGCTGGTGCGAGACCCGTCCAGGCTGCCTTCAGAGGGGCCCCAGCCGGCCCACGTGGTGGTGGGAGATGTTCGGAAGGCAGCCGACGTGGACAAGACCGTGGCTGGGCAGGACGCTGTTGTTGTGCTGCTGGGCACCGGCAATGACCTCAGTACTGAGCCCCCCCTCTGCCCACGGCCTCCTCCTGCACCCCGGCCCCCAGCCCCCCCCCCCCCCCCTGCCCCGCCCCTACCGCCCCAGCCGCCTCCGCCACCCACAAGTGACAGCCACTCTCTGTCATCTCTAAGGTCCCACCACAGTGATGTCCGAGGGCGCCCAGAACATTGTGGCAGCCATGAAGGCTCACGGCGTGGACAAGGTCGTGGCCTGCACCTCGGGTGGGTGGCAGGGTCACAGAGTGCTGCTGAGCTGGGGGCAGGTGGGGACTGGACAGGCCAGGTTCTGTAGCCCAGGAGCCTCTGAAAGGTGACATTGAAGCCGCTCCAAGTTCCTGTGCATGCGTTTACCGACCATGTGCCTGAGCTTTGCTGGGGACGTGGTGACCAGCACAGCTGTGGGGCTCACTGATGGGAGAGAGATCATAAACAGAACTATCATCAGACACTGACCGTCCAGACTGGTCAGGCTGGGAGGGGGGAGGCACAGGCAGGGGGGCTGGGGGCAGGGCAGGGGAAATGCAGACAGAAGGGTCGGCCTGGGCAGGAAGCCAGCTGTGGGACCCGGAAGAGGCACCTGCAGAGAGGTCGGGAAGGGCCTCCTAGAGGAAATGAGAGAGCTGTAACCCCAGCAGACCAGCTCTCTGCCCTCACAGAGCCCCCAGTTTGCGGGAAGATGGACATGAAAGAAAGGGTTGCCCGAGTAATATTAAAGGTAGGGTACAGAGTGGAGCACAGGAGCGCAGTTAATGCTAAGAGTTAGCATTTATTGGCCTGGTGGTACAGTGGTTAAGGCATTTGGCTGCCCACCAAAAAGGTCAATGGTTTGAACCCATGAACCACTCCGCAGAGCAAAGATGAGGCAGCCTGCTTCTGTATAGGTTTACAGCTTTGGAAACCCAATGGGGCAGTTCTACTCTGTCCTGTAGAGGTGCGGGGGTCAGAATTGACTCACAATAGTGGGTTTGGTTTGGGTTTTGCTTCTGTGAAGACTGATAGCCTTGGAAAGCCTATGGAGCAGATCTACTCTGTCCTCTAGGGTCACCATGAGTCAGAATCGACTGGATAACAGTGAGTTTGGTTTTTTAGGTTTTGACAGGAGTGCCTTAGGGGTAAATGCCAAATAATCCTCACAAAACCCCCGAGGCAGCTGCATGTACTTTGAATCCTACCCACCAAAACCAAACCCACTGCCATGGAGTCGATTCCGACTCATAGCGACCCTAGAGGGTAGTCTCTCTTGAGTAGCTAAGGGAACTGAGGCACCAGGAGGCCAACGGCTTCCCGAGTTCACACAGCTTGTGGCTGGCAGAGCTGAGTGTGAACCCGGGCTGTCTCCAAGGCCCTCTCACCTCTATTTTTTCACACTAATTGCTTGCCTGAGAAGGGAGGTGTCGTGGAGAGAGGGCTGCGTGGTGAGAGGGACTGCTGCCGACAGGGCACATGAGCGCGCAGGCCTGGAGGCCAGCAGGTAGCTGAGAGGGGAACGAAATAATTTATGACGCCCCCAGCTTTGAAATGGTATAAGTAATACTAAACCTGTAATTTTAGAATGTTCTTCTCTCCGTGTTCATATTTTTCTTCCGTGTTATGAAGACCAGTTTGAGAAGTGAGAAGAATTTTTGCTGCTATAATAGAAAAAAAAAAAATGCATTCCCATTTGGTAGATTCTGACTCACAGCGCCCCTAGAGGACAGGGTAGAACTGCCCCCCAGAGTTTCCAAGGCTGTCAATCTTTATGGAAGCAGACTGCCACATCTTTCTCCCATGGAGCAGCTGGTAGGTTTGAACTGCTATCCAAAAGTGCTTTAACCACTGCACCACCAGAGTTTCCAAACTAAACTCAACTGCCATCAAGTCGATTCCAACTCATAGCAACCCCTATTGGGTTTCCGAGGCAGTAAATCTTTACAGAAGTAGATTGCCTCATCTTCCTTCCCCAGAGTGGCTGGTGGGTTTGAACCGCCAACCTTCTGGTTAGCAGTCAAATGCCTTAGGCACTACACCACCAGAGCTCCTCTTACTATGGTGGTGTTGTTATGTGCCATCCAGTCAGACCTCTGACTCATAGCGACCCTTCCTTGGGTTTCCTAGGCAGTATCCCTACAGAAGTAGATTGCCCAACCTTCCTTCCAAGGAGTGACTGGTGGGTTTGAACCGCCAGCCTTCTGGTTAGCAGTCAAGTGCCTCATGCACTACGCTACTAGAGCTCCTCCTTACTATGATAGGAACTGTAAAATTGATTTAATCTGCCTTTTATTTTATTTTCCCCAAGTTTTTTAGTTTTTTTTTTTAATATCAAATTTTTTTCTTAATATCAAATCCTGGTGTGTGCCAGGGTTTGTTTCTTTTTCTCATTTTTTTTTTTCACTTTTTTAAAAAATCATTTAGGAAATGATTTTAAACTCACAGTTTGCAGGAACTCATTTCACTCAGATTCACTAAGTGTTGACATCCCTATTTTCCTTATTCCTTCTATCTCTGTCCCTCTTTCTGTCTGTCTGTATGTACATATGTGTGTGTATTTACTTATTTATATATACGCACACATATGTGTATAATTCTTTTCTGACTCATTTGAAGGACCGTGGGTGGCGCATAGGGTTTGGACTCCTCTTTTCACCTGAAGGTGAATAATTTGAACTCACCCCGTTGTGGTGCTGAAGAAAAGCTGGGTGACCTGCTTCCATTGTCATTACAGCCGAGAGAACCCTCCAGGACAGTTCTGCTCTGTAACACACGGGGTTGCCATGATGTGAAATCGCCTTGGCCACGAATGTGGTTTCACATATATCATGGCCTTTTCCTTCAATGTGTATTTTGTTGACTTGTTTTTTATAACTTTTTATTGTATTTAAAAAAAAAAAAAAAAAACTTAACTGCCGTCGAGTTGGTTCAACTCATAGTGACCCCTCCTTGGGTTACCGAGGAGGTATCTTAACAGAAGTAGATTGCCCAACCTTCCTTCCAAGGAGTGGCTGGTGGGTTTGAACTACCAGCCTTCTGGTTAGCAGTCAAATGCCACCAGAGCTCCCTTTTATTGTAAAACACTTTAAAACAGAAAAGTTGAAAAAGCTGAGTGTTCATAGTCCCTCCATCCCAACTCAAAGCCTAGTATTTTCCATAATTGTTTTATCCATGAGCATACAAGGAACCCTGGTGGCATTGTGGGTAAGGCCTTTTGCTACTAACCAGAAGGTCAGTGGTTCAAACCCACCAGCAGCTCCGCGGGAGGAAGGTGAGGCAATCTACTCATCTATAAATCTAAAGTTTTACAGCCTTGGAAACCCAATGGGGGTCGCTGTGAGTCGGGATCAACTCAATAGCAGTGAGTTTTTTTCTTTTGGTTTATGGACATACACACACAGACACAAATGTTTGTATTTTACAAAACTTTTTGAGATTAAGTTGCAGATCCCAGGACACTTTACCCTTCTGGCATCTCCTAAGAAAAGAAAAGGAGCCCTGGTGGTGCCGTCGTTAAGTGGTTGGCTGCTAACCGGAAGATTGGTGGTTTGAACACACCAGCCGCTCCATGGGGAAAAGATATGGCAGTCTGCTTCTGTAAAGATTTACGGCCTTGGAAACCCTATGGCCTAGTTTCTTTAGGGTTGCTATCAATTGGAATCAACTTGATGGCAATGGGTTTATTATTATTTGAAGAGAAGAAAAGGCTTTTCTCTTCTAGAAGTACTGTATGATTATCACACCTGAGAAAATGAACACTAATTCCCCTCCATCCTGTAATTATTAGAGTATCCAGTTCCCTCCATATTCAAATTTCAAGAGAAAGGATTAGAAAGATCCTTGTCATCTAAGGAGCTTGCATTTTATCTTGGCCTAGGAAGCCTGGGGAGGGTTGTTTTTTAAGGTGGTTCCTGAAAGGATTAGGACAAAAAAAACTGCAAGATGTTGACTGGATCTGAGACTGCAAACTACTGGCAATGTGGAATTAGGAGGCTGGGAAGTGGGGCCCTGAGGCTCTTGTTGGGTGCTCTGGGGCCACAGTTTCAGAGAGAATCCTGTTCCCTACCTTACGGGGTAGGAGCTCTGGTAGCATAGTGCCTAAGGCACTTGACTGCTAACCAGAAGGCTGGGGGTTCAAACCCACCAGCCACTCCTCGGAAGGAAGGTTAGGCAATCTACTTCCGTAGTGATACTGCCTCGGAAACCCAAGGAGGGGTCACTATGAGTTGAGTCCAATTCGACGACACATAACAACAACAACCTCATGGGGTTGTTGTCAGGAGTCAGTGAGAGTCGGAACCCCATGTCAGCGTAGAACTGAGCTCCGTAAATGGCTGCTTTTTCAGGAACAGATCACCAGCGTCTAGGTGCACTCACGCTGCCAGCCTTTCAGTTAGCTGAGGATCTTAACAGTTTGCACCACCACCTAGTTCTGCTCTGACATGTGTGGGGGTCACAGGGAGTCTAAGTCAATTTGATGGCAACCGGCTTGGGTTTTGGGTTTTGTTTTGTTTTAGTAGATGAACACTAGGGCAAAAACAAAGCAGGCTAAAGGGCTTTTGGATGTGTCGAACAGGATGGTCAGGGAAGGCCTTATTGAAAGGTGGCCTTTAAGAGAAGTTTGCCAGGGGGTGAAGGAGAGAGCCATGTGACTGAGAGAAGAGCATTGTGGTTAGTGGGATCAGCCATTGCGAAACTGTGAGGTGGGGGCAGGGCTGGAGTGGAGCAAGGGAAGGGATGTTGGGGGATGCGAGAGGTGATGGCAGAGAGGGGAGGGCACCGTGATGGGGACTTGGCTTTTCTCCCGAGTGAGATGGAGCCTGAGGAAGTGTTGTGACTCAGGTGTTTACGGGGTCCATCTGGCTGCGTGTGGGGAGCAGACTGAGGGGCAGGGAGACCTGGGAGGAGACTGGGACCAGGTGGGTTTTGAATTACTGGACTTTTGCTGACAGCTCACGTGCAGGGTGGGAAAGAGAGAGGAGCCTGGGAAGACTCCCACATGTTTCCCTGAGTCCCTGAAAGGCGACGCGGAGCCGCTGCAGGGTTTTGTCCTGTCCCAAGACAGGAAAGGCCAGCAAGCAGGTCTGACCAGGAGGCTGTGGACCTGGCCAGGCTGCCCTGAAGCCGTGTCTGACCCTGCCCTGTGCCCCACAGCCTTCCTGCTATGGGACCCAGCCAAGGTGCCCCCACGGCTGCAGGACGTGACCAATGACCACATTCGGATGCACAAGGTGTTGCAGGAGTCAGGCCTGAAGTACGTCGCTGTGATGCCGCCCCACATAGGTGAGTGGGGCAGGGACCCTGAGACACTGTGCTACCAGCTGCTTCTTCCTGTCCTCTGAGGAGATCCGCAAGGTTGCCCTCCAACCAAAACCAAACTCACTGCTGTCGAGTTGGATCCGACTCAGCAACCCCTCCTTGGGTTTCCGAGGTGGTATCCCTACGGAAGTAGCTTGCCCAGTCTTCCTTCCGAGGCTTCCCTGGCCACCCTAAAATTGCAAATCTTTCCCCAACTTCCTGTCCTCTTTCTCTGCTTTCTAACATATTATTCGTTTATCTCTGCTTCACAAACTACCCAAAATATAGAGATCTGAAACCACACCATTATTTACTATGAATAGTTCCCTCAGCACTGGGCACTGACTAGATGTAGCATGTGGTTGATGCTTTTTGTGTGTGGGTGAAAGTTTACAGAGCAAATTCACTTTCCATACAGCCGTTCACATTCACTTGTCTCATGACATTGACTATAATTTCCCACCATGCAACAGCTCCCCTCCCACTTCCTCCCCATAGTTACCTCTTCCCTGTGTCCATTCCTCCATGACCTCCTGCCCCCTGAGCCATCTCCCTGTGCATACACAGCCCTTCTTTCTCTCATGATTGTTCTCTCCAAGGAGTATATCTACCTCAGGTACATGTTCAACTCATATCCCTGTCTTTTGTTTAAGATAGCCTTGTTTTTTGGGTCTCACAAGTTTTCCACCTTAGACAAGGTGCAGTCTTACCACTTTTCTATCATTCTCTGTTTGGTGGGAAATATTTACGTTTTCCTCCTCTGGTATGTTTCCCCTCACACAGGGTCCAGCCTTCCCAGGTTTTACTGTAGCAGGTGCTCAGTATGTTTGTTGCATGAGCTGATGCTGATAAGCCACACCTTGTGACGGGGTTCAGAGAGAACCAGTAAACTCCTTTACTCCCTCTCCCTGCAAGGTCTGGAATTGACAGTGAGAGACACCAAGAGTCAGATACAGGGAGAGAATGTTTCTTGCATGTCTGGCCACCATTACAGTAAAACCTGCAAAAGACAGAAACTGTGGCAGGCAGAAACCTATAGAGGAGAAAAAGTCAAATATCTGACTGTCAAAGGCAGACAACTTGTGAGACCTGGAAAAACAAGTCAGTTCTTCGAGTTCCGGCACTCACAGGTTTCACTCTATAAGTGCTGGTGACGCAGGCCTTGTTCTCATGAGGCTTCTGTGTCTAGTGGAGGAGACCGATGATAGATGCGTAGTGTTAACGTTGGGTTAATAAGCCAAATGAAGAAACAGTGAAGTGTGGTAAGAAGTGACGAGATGCTGTTTATTTAGCCTAGACTTGCTAAGGAGCCGGCTTCATGTAGTGAGGAATGAGTCAGGTGACTATCTGAGGGAAGGGAGGACTGGGCAGAGGGAATAGCACTGCACAGCCCTGAGGCAGGGTACCCGTATCTCTTCCATATTTGTCTCCTCACTGGAGGAGCAATTTTGCTTTGCTCTCTGTGTAGTGGGGCCCCTGGCAGGAGGACGCCTGCACTCCAGATGTCTGAATAGATTCAGTGTTTAGATTCAATTTAGGATCTGTGTTAGGAGGCCATTTGGCCCAGACTCCTAAGCCCTGAGTTGGTTGGAAAGCTGCGTGGTGAAGAAGCTGCATGGTCTTCAGGCTGTTGACCTCGCGTTTCTGAACCTCAGTTTCCTCATCTCTATACAGAGGTCACAATATGACTTGAGGTTCAAAATGAATGTTTAAAGAGCTCGCTCCTGGAAATTACTTTTAACACACAGCAATACTTTTTAGGTTATCGTGAAAAGTTTCAAATGTACAGAGTAATTGAAGGAGTGAAAGGTTTATGGACATCCATTGTATGCATTTCCTGGGGCTGTTGTAGAAAAGTGTTGGTCTCGCAGTTTGGAAGCTGGAAATCTAGATTCCAGGTGTCTGCCATACCGACGCCCTCTGTGTGCTCTGAGGACGAATCTGTTTCTCTTGCTGCGCTTCTGGTTTGTCCGGGATCCTGACATTCCCTGATTTGTAGATGTGTCTCTCCAGTCTCTCCAGCTACACACGGCCATTTTTCTGTGTCTCTGGTGTTTTTATAAGAACACCGCTTTTAAAGGGTTAGGAACCACCATACGTTGGTCTGACCGATGTTAATGTACCAATAACATCTTCAAAGACCCTATTTCCAAATAAAGTGGTGTTAGTAAGTCCCGGGGCTCAGGACTTCAACGTGTATTCAGTCCATGATGCGCATAAACCCATCGGCTAGTCGCATTTGTTAACATTTTGCCCTGTTTGCGTGCATGTATACCACGCACACTCTCTGTACACACACACACGCACACACACATGTTGTCTGTCCATGGGTGGTGCTGCGTCTAAAAGCAAGTGGAAGACATCATCTCATTTTACTCAACAGGCATCTCCCCAGAAAGAAAGATTTTTGTGTGCACATCACAGTGCCATTATCATACCTGAGAGAATTGATATCAATCCTGTCATATTATTTAGCATCTGCTCTTCAGTCAAATTTCCACCTTTATTTATTTATTTAATCTTTATTGTGATTTAGCTAAAACTTTACAGGGTAAATTCATTTTACATACAGCAATTCATACGCATGTTGTCTCATGACGTTGACTGCAGTCCCCCACATTGTAACAGCTCTCTTCCCACTTCCTCCCAGTAGTTACCTCTTCCCTGTGTCCTTTTCTATGCATTCCTGCCCCTTGAGCTGTCTCCCTATGCAAACACTGCCCTTCAGTTCTCCCACGATAGAGAGAGATGTTCTAAGGAGTGTATCTACCTGATGTAAATGTTCGCCCCATATGCCTGTCTATTGTTTCGCTAGAAGCCACAGGAGTAAGTTCAATTCCAGATCTGAATGGTAACTAAGGGCCATGTTGTTGCTGTTGTTGTTGTTATATGCTGTCGAGTCGGCCCCGACTCATAGCGACCCCTCCTTGGGTTTCCGAGGCAGTATCACTAC